TTATTTCATATATATATATATATATATATAGTTAACTGAATTATAATTACGCGGAACTCATTATGCGCGTGACTGTTTCCACCGGCTGAATTTCACCGACAAACCGGGTGTTGAGCAAACATGGCAGCGACCTTGTGGATCCGCCGAGACTGGTGTGAATCATAACTGAGAAGATATGAAGTACACGCTTATATTTTATATATAGAATTAAATTGTAGAATCAGCATGTTCTCAATGTTGAAGCACGCGTTTCTGGGCTTTGTCCGGAAATCAAGCCAGCCAGGTAGAATTCAGATGAATAATCTTACATTATTAATTGTAATATATAATATTTCATATTAATTCTGTTAGTACAACTAACACATAAAATATTTTTTGGACATAAAGTATGGCGATACCATGTTTGGTATAGACATGTACCATGAGTCAGTGTGATTTATATCCTTCATTTAATAGTCTGCATTATTAACGTTACTGATTTTTAGATTGAACTTTACATGTTTGTGATAACCAGAGTGTCATAACTTGTCAAATGTGATATTTAGTGATATTTCACCCTCTAAACCCGTGTTTACTAGTCGAATGAATTTGCTGAAATCGCTTTCTTCCACAGCAGATGTGCTGCAAAATAAACTGAAGGTCTTGGCAGCAGGATTGAGGACTTACGAAGTTCCACCAGACTTCAGCGGTAATGATCGTTCATACTGCACCAACATTTCACCAGTTAAACACTTTCACTCAGTCATTAAGTTCATTTATGATAGTTAGTTGATGCTTGTTGGTCTTGTATTATTTAAACCCTTTCAACAAAGCATGTGAGCAGTTTCTGATTTCTTTGTTTTCAAGATCAAGAGTGTGGGGCTGTATGATTTGGGGATAAAACTCACTCTAACCCCAGTTGTGATTTCTCAAATAAAAATCGCAAATGCACTTTAAATTGTAACTTAAAAAAAAAAAAAAAAATCCAGGTTTTGCTATGATGCAAAATTTGTCCAAAATCCATTAATACAGATAATAATTTTTATTATTGTTGTTTCTGAATAGAATAAAAAAAAAATGAAATTAATAATTATTTTGTTTTTTAGATTTTGTTTTTGTATTTTAATTTTAATTTAGTAACAACAATATTAACAAAAGAATAATTAGTTTTGTAAAATTTCACTGTAAAATAAAAAAAAGAGTATTTAAGAAAAATATAATACTAATAATCATTTTATTTTACAACTAAAATTATAATACTACTGTGAAGTTGTTTGTTTAATATTCATTGTATTCTATTTCTGCATGTTTTTGTCAAGGACTTTTATTTTGGTGTTGCGCCCTCCGAGAAGGAGAGTGTGGCGGGCACGGAGACTAGTGCTGCTTTCCTCCCCAGTTTAAATTGTAACTTAAAAAAAAAAAAAAAAAATCCAGGTTTTGCTATGATGCAAAATTTGTCCAAAATCCATTAATACAGATAATAAGAATAATTTTTATTATTGTTGTTTCTGAATAGAATAAAAAAAAATGAAATTAATAATTATTTTGTTTTTTAGATTTTGTTTTTGTATTTTAATTTTAATTTAGTAACAACAATATTAACAAAAGAATAATTAGTTTTGTAAAATTTCACTGTAAAATAAAAAAAAGAGTATTTAAGAAAAATATAATACTAATAATCATTTTATTTTACAACTAAAATTATAATACTACTATTTATGGCTGCATTAATTTCATTGCTTATATTTAATTAAATGTGATTTAATTTTATAAATATATGCAGAGATATGAAGACAGCGGTTGTGCTTGAATAATCGCACTAAGCCATATTTCAGTTTTAAAAAAGCTCATTTTGGTTTTATTTTTTGATGAATTGTGCAGCCACTAAACTAGAGTGTGATTTTATGTTTTTCTCTCATGCAGACGTGGTTCTACCAGACAAGCCTAAACTGAAGTTCCTCGAAAAGGTCCCAAACTTAAAACAAGCAAAGAAGGAGATGAAGAAGCTGCGTGACATCCAGGGACCGGCCAAAAGCACAAATACGTTCAGCGAAGGACAGTATGGGATCGTGGTCAGTGTTTTGAAGTAACCCAGAAAGTGTATGTTTATTTAGTACATATATTAAAGATCTCTGAATGTCATTGCATTATGTCTGTAGGCTCTGGGTGGAGGTTATTTGCACTGGGGTCACATGGAGATGATGCGTCTCACCATCAACCGCCGCATGGATCCCAGCACCACGTTTGCTGTGTGGCGCATCAAGGCCCCGTACAAGCCCATCACCCGTAAAGGCCTGGGTCAGCGCATGGGCGGCGGGAAGGGTGCCATCGATCACTATGTGACTCCGGTGAAATGCGGCCGGTTGGTGGTGGAGGTCGGAGGTCGCGTTGAGCTGGGTGAGGTGGAGGCTGTGCTCAAAGAAGTGGCCAAGAAGCTTCCCTTTCCAGCCAAGGTTTGTTCTGAGTAGATTTAGTTTCTGACTTCCTCTTTATGCTTTCATAATCGGCTTTTCCTCCAGAACGATGTGGCAATAAAGTGAATAAGGAAAGTGTTGTGTAACCTTTACTTGGAGGATGAGCTGTGTGGTTTTGTTTCTGTTTATTTAGTAGGGCTGCACGATTAATCGAATGCGATTGTCATGCGCATTTTTATAGTAATGCCGGTTCTGTAATCAGAAGGAAATCATCATCACGTGCTTTCAGATGGAGCAGAATTTACTACACATAGCCGTAGTTCATTGACAAGTTACGCAAAAAAATAAAAACAAATAAAAAATATTTTATTGCGTGATTATGAAATCGAAGAAATCGTTCGCGATAATGACAGCTGTTTGCATAGCTTCTCAGTGAACTACGGCTCTGTGAAGTAAATGTTGCTCCATCTGAAAGCATGTGAAAATACCACATTTAATAACATATTTTTACTCCAAATTCACTTCATAATGTCAGTCGAGTGTTTGAAATAAATCCTTCTGTGAGATGATGTGGCTTCTTACACAGAATAAGGCACACAACATATTTCATAGTATTTAAGCAGTGATAAAGGCATTGCATTATAAATATACTTAATTTAAATGAAAATTATAATAATAAGAACTCAGATAAACTGATATTGCCGTAGTCATGTGTTTATTAGTCACATTGAATCAATGAAAGCAGTTGAATCTTCTGTTTATTCAGCTGCAGCGATAGGCATTTTCTGGGTTTCTTCTGCGAGGCGTATTTGGAGTTTCAACGCGAGAGCACCCTCTGGCCTTCGGATGAAGATTTACTGCTGATCATAGAACCATGCTTCACTGAAAGATACGCATGACAATCGCAGCTTCTGTCGAATCGTGATCTCGATTCCATTTCGATTTATCGTGCAGCCCTACTATTTAGTGTACTTAACCCTCTTGTAGTACTTGATCATTTTAGACCATACATTTTCAGTTTCAGTTTTTAAAAAATATTTTACTTTATCAGAAAGGTGTGAAACTTTGTGACTTTTGTGGCACTTGCTATGCACATTGACACTTCAAATCAACATATATAAAAAAACTTTTACCAAAATAATCTTTGATAATGTTTAAATTTATATCCAAATGCAAAACCTAATAAAAGTAATTGATTATTAATTAATCTGGAATTACATATGATCTTCTTTATTTGTTTCCACCAGATAGAACCAATCTGCATCCATTTTAAATGCATTTGCTTTATTTTTAACTTAAATACTACATTAATTAAAAAAATATATAATAAAAAAAAAATTATTTGTATTATTTTATATAGAAATAAATGGTGCATAATTTAGAGGTAAATATTGTTTGGTACCATGAAATCCCCTTAAAATACAAAATATTAAAGATTAAATATTATGTACCTATTATATGGTACATTCACGTAATTAAAATTTAAGAATTAATTTTTAAAAATAGAGAATTTATATTTTATAATTAAATTATGCATATAGGCTATGGACTGTTTTGTACAGAAGTGATTGCGCTGCAAAAAAAAAAAAAGATTTTTGTATTTTTGTCTTGTTTTCCAATACAAATATCTGAAGATTCTTCTATCTAAATACATTTACTTGAGAAGCAAAATGACATAAGATATCAAGTGTCATTTTCTGAAAATAAAGATCAAAATTAAAAAGAAAAAAACAAGAAAAAAAATCTGTCAGTGGGTTCAGAAAAATAATCTTAATTTACAGAGAAAACATGTTTATATTTCTGACCCCATTGGCAGATTTTTTCAAATTCTTGTTTTAAGTATAAACTCAATTAATTTTAATTAAAAAAAAATTCAGAAAGCAAGACTTAATATCCTAAACCATTTTGCATCTTAAGTAAATGTACCTTGATTTAAGAATATTTAGATATTTGTACTGGAAAAAAGACAAAAATACTGAGGAAGAAAAGAACGTTTTGCAATGTGTAAATTCAAAGTTAAGACTACCAGAGGGTTTTAAATGTGGAAGGATTTCTAAGAAACGGGTTTTAATTTGAAGAAGCACCAAGTATATGATCCAGGGCTGTACAGTGCGACATATGTCGCACGTGCTACGAAAAAACTGGTCTGTGCGATGAATAAATTTACCACTGTAGCACGCGTGCAATACAGTTTTGCATGTTCATAACACAGCCGCTTAATAGTGTGAAGTGATTTCTTGTGCTTGTTTGTGTGTGTGAGATTGATTATACTTGGTAGTTAGGGGTGTGCGATATGACGATTTTTGATCATAGACGATTAAAATGTCTCCACGATCTGCTTTTGAAGAAATATCGTTGTATCGTGCTACAGCGCACATTCTATCAGCTGCAGTTCTGGCGCCTCCCTCCGTCACAATATAATGAATGGCTACAAAACTTTCAACCTCTGTAGCACCAGTGCTATGTGGAAAAAAAAGTTAACGTACAGCCCTGTGATCAGATGTGATTGAACATACTGACAGGTCAGTGTTTATGTGAATATGGATGGACTGTAATATGTATTTCTGGTGTAGGTGGTGAGCAGAGAGAGTCTGGCCGCACTGTATGAGGAACAGGCCGAACGGGCTGCCAACAACCAGAACCCCTGGACCTTCCAGACAATCGCTCGCTCCAACATGCTGGGAATCCGCAAAGTCCTGAGCCCGTTTGACATTCACAATCACGGACGCTACACTGGGAAGTTCTTCAACCCCAAACGGGTGTAGCGTATTTGAGAGATAACGTTGCTGATCTACAGTGTCAGCACAGATGAAGACAGACTCCTCATGGGCAGGAAGTGGTCTGCTAACATTCAGAATGCTTTAATAGACACCAGATTGATATCTGCTGCTTTGAGTGTTCTGTCATTCACTTATCAGGCGTCTTCTGCAACACTTTGCAGTTTTGATAATAAAAGTGTGTCATTCTGGAAAGGTTACATTAACATAGTGGGAGCACCTGTTTACTTGATGCATTCTTTTATCAAACGAGCAGTTATGTGTGAGTAAATGTAATGTCCAAATGTTAAAGATATATTGGTGACAATAAACAATATTTCTTTGCAGTTTGTTGAATTTTGTACATAAAGCACCGTGTATTTCCGGCAAAAAAAAAAAAAAGGTAATTGCAATTTTCTTTAAATGTTCATTTATTATTATTGGGGGGGCATATTATCATGGCATTTTCTGCCATGGAAAAAAGTAATCACAACTTTTTATTTAACAATTCTGACTTTTTCTCAGAATTCTGTTTTCTTTTTTGTGTTTCACCACCACGGAATAAATAAATAAAATAAAAAACATTATTGCGACTTTTTAATCTCACAATTCTGACTTTTTTTCCCTCGCAGTTGTGAATTATATCTCATAATTCGGACTTTTCTCCTCAGAATTGCTAGTTTATACCTGGAAATTATAAACTGTCACATATAAACTGTGAACTAAAAAAAAAAGTTACCTAAAAGTCGCAGTGACCTTTATTATGTTTTATTGCGTGGCGGAAATAAGCTTCCGTACAACTCTGTATTTTTATTTTATAGTAAATAATTTTTTTATTTAAAACGTAATACAGATGTAATGTACAAATGAATGCAAGCGACTACATTTAATGAAAAGAAAGTTAACAACGAAAAGAAAGAAAATTACCGCAAATCTCATCAGAAGAAGAAAAAGCAGCAGCGCAATGTCCAGGAAGTGTCAGTTCCCACCGCGCATGCGCACTTCCGTTCCCGCTTTGAATCGTGTGCCGCGAATCTGGTGAGTCTTGAAGATGCTGTTGCTGTAGATGTGTCGTACATTGACGATTAATTAGCGAGTTTTGTTTATTTTAAGCTCACCATATTTATCGAATCGTTACATCTTTTCCTCATTCTTATAAGTTTGTAACGTTATGTACTTAATGAGAAAGCAGCTAACGTTACTGTTTCTACACTGCACTTGTGCGACGCGACAAAAATAAGTGGCTTCCCTTATAATAAACGAAGCTGTATTTGACGCGTCGCTTCGTTCTCATTGACTTTATACGTAGTGAAATGTGTCGATCCCTCTTTTCTATTTGACATATTCGTATACCATGGTATTGTACCGTAGTATACAAAGAATACTATGGAATAACCATGCTGCATATCTAAAAATACCATTATATCTAAAAACAACAATAACTTACATTGTAATGCTGTGGTACTTGTTATTGTCTTTTTTTTTAACATTGGTGATCTTTCTACAGTCTTTATAGAGAGCTGTTTTATACGTTAGCTTGAGGTTCCTCAGGTTTTGTACACTTACACTCTGTGACTCAGTTTGTTTTTCTGTGCAGCTTTTCATGATGAAACCAGCGCGAGGGTCAGGAAGAACCTCCACACGGGGCCCCAGTGGAGCTGCAGACAGGAACACACGCAACACACTTAAAGTGAGACGCAGCTGAACAAACCGGAATTTATTATTATTACTCTTGATATATATTCTAAATTTGATCATTTGTTATACTGCTGCTTATAAAGTGCATCTAGAAAAGAGTGTAATTTTTTTTAAATGAAGATTTTTCAAATTATATACATGGTTTCTGCAGGTCTTAAAAACTCTTAATTCCCACTTTGACAAATTAAGGATTTAAAATCAGAGCAGAAATTCTTAAATTCTTAAAGTCATGGCATTAAATGTTTCATGCACTGCAAAAAATGAATATCTTCGGTATTTTTGTCTTGTTTTCCTGTACAAATATCAAAATATTCTTAAATCAAGATATATTTACTGAAGATCTGAAGAAAATTAGCAAAATTAAGTGAGTTTATGCTTCAAATAAGAACAAATATCTGTCAGTGGGGAACAAACACTTATTTTCCCTTTGAATTAAGATTTTTCTGAGCCCCCTGCCAGATATTTGATCAAATTCTAATAAAACGACAATTTATCAAGAAGTAATAGAGGTCTTTCGTAAACATTTACATTTAGAGACCATATTGATGTATGTGTTCCATTCAATTAATTCTTTAAATTTTGTTTACTTGGTCTTAAAAACATTTAAATGAGAAATCCATGCATGTGAAAATTGTCTGAGAATTGAACAGATAATCTGGCTCAGATGAAGACAGGAATAATGAGTTTGTGGTGTTTTTCTGCGGATTAAGGGATAAAACAAGACTTCTTCACTGCACAGATGGTTTTCGAAAGCTAAAATGCTACAAAATGCATGATATTTTGTGAGAAAGTGTGATGTGCTTGAGCACAACAGACAAAACACACTCTTTTTTTTGGAATGAGCAGCCCATAATTAGTAAAAAACTAGTTTTGGATTTCATTCAGCAAATATAATATAATGATAATAATAAAAATTAAATCTACAATATAAAATTGCTCAACACTTTCTTTCAGACGTTCAAACCCAGAGCTGAAGGCCCACATCCGGAGCCACCTAAGAAAAACAGCGGTAAGTTGAGAAATGATGGGCGATGTCTGCACTTGAATGCTTTAGAAGGCTTGTTGCGTAAGGTGAGGTTATTCAGAAATGCATTTTTCAACCTGTTGAGTTTCTTGTTTCTGAAAGTTTGCCAAAATAATCAATGGGCTACTGAAAAGCCTTTGTTTCCTCTTTCTCCTGAAAATTTAAATTCTGTCAACATTTTCTAGCACGCATGTCGTTCCAAACATTTATGTCTTTCTTCAGTAAAACTCAAAAGAAGCAGAATGTTTATACTTCTTTTTATCATGACCTTCACGCTTTAAAAAAATGCCAAAATGGATTTTAAACATACTCCATACTTGTGAAATTTAAATAGTTAATCACTGAATATCTTGCAAAAATCTAATTCATGAGTTTTTATATTTGACATCATTAAAAACCACATCAAATGGGATTCAGAAATTTTGAATATGTCATCTAAAAAAAAAACAGATCTATTGCACCGTCCACACAGTAAATGTGTTATAATTTAACACATTATAACACATTTTTTTAAAGTTTAAAGTGCAAAGTGAAAGGTAATGTTGGAAATGTTCAATTCATAAAATAAATCTTTCTTGAGGAAAAAAAATCCAGCTTTATTTTTTATATACAATGTAATAATAATGCTTAACATTAATATATTAAAATGCTCTTGAATTACCATTTATACATGGAGGAAACTACAATTACATGTGTTTAAGTATATATTTCTGTAAAATTGATATTTACATTGCAGCAGAATTATTATCGTTAACTAAAATTAAAACCTTAAAAAATTGTTACTTGAAATCAAATAAATATTAACTGAAAATAAAACCAAAAACCTTTTATTTCAGCATTTTAGTGCGCTAAAATAACTAAAACTGAAATAAAAATGAATAAAAAACTATATAGACATACAAGAAAAACAAAAACAACTAACAATTAAAAATATAAAGGAAAATATAAAAATAAAAACTGATTCAGATAAATAATAAAAACTAATAGTATCTCAATTATTCTAAAAACACTGCATTGCAATCAAAAATGGGCTAATAAAACAGATTTTATGTATGTATTCACATTAGTTGATTAAACAATTAATTGATCATTAATTTGAATGAAAATAAATTATGAAGAGCTCTAAAAATGTGCATGCCTAATGTAAAGGTGTGAATGAGGTCATCAAATCATGACAGAATTGGCATTTTTAGCTGAATTATTTCTTTCAAATTCTTATATTTTGCCTGAATATAATGATATGTTGTTTTACTGTAATTTTTTTGTCTTTTTCTCTGGCTTTGATAAAACCTCAGTGATCGCTGGAAAGAGTAAGAATAAGGGGAATTGGAAACTGCTGACCAAATCGTCCCTACTGGCTCTGGAGAACATGCTTGGTTTGTCTGTTCTGTGAGTAATGTGTTGTGTAATAATTATATGTGTGTGCAGATTGCTTCATCATCACGGTCTGATTGTGATATTTTTTATGCTTTTGACTCAGATCTGTTCTGTCATTGAAAAGCAAAGAAAAAGAAGAATCGCAGAAGCATCTCAATCTCCTTAAAGATCAGTAAGGGACATTCTGCCAAACATCTTTTATGTTTCACTGTTTTTGGGCCCTTTCACAATATGTTTTCGTAGGTTCCTGGCTAAGTGTGCACAGCTTTCTGTTCCTCCGAGGAAACATGGAGACATTATGCATGTGTCCCATCAGTTCAAAGCAGAAAGTAAGAAGTCTGAGCACGGCAGGAAGGCGCTTGAGGCTCTAGAGGTGATGAACGAGCAGATTCAAGATAAACAGTTGATCATGACGTAACTGGCCATTAACCTTTGTGTGTTTAGGAGAACATGCGCTCAGTTGTTAGCACTCTTGAGGAGATGGAGGTTCAGATGGATAGTTTGGAGGAGAAATGCAGGATAATGAGAAGCAAACTAGAGGACGAAGAAGAAAAGGCACAGGAGGTTCAAGCACGCTTCAGTGATTTGATGATGACGCACAACTGGTTTCAGTTGAACAGTCAGTGACTGTTTCTAGTTGTGGTTTAATCATGGTGTTTGATTCTGATCTGTTCCAGTTTCTCCAGCTGTCAGAACAGACGGTCCTGCGACTTCCTGCTTTACTGTCTCGCCCAGCCAACGAGCCAACGCTACAGGTACATCACACTTCACTTCCAGTCAAATGAAACCGATGAACTACAGTCGAGATTACTTTGATTAACTTTGAAGAAGTCATATTTAAGCACAAAATCAAAAGAATGATAAATTAGGTTTTACTTAAAGAGAAGGTTTTTGTTCAAAGTCAAGTCACCTTTATTTTTTATAGCACTTTATACAATAATATAGATTGTGTCAAAGCAGCTTTACAGTGTTAAACAGGAAAAACGTGTGCTGATAATGCAACAGGACAATAGAAAACAGTCAGTTTATCAGTTAAAGTCAGGTCATTGTTGATTCAGTGATGTCATCGTCCAGCTCAGTTCAGTTCTCTTCAAATAGTATCTGTGCAATCAAGTCAACAATGTTGCCAGAAATTGTGTCCCCAACTAAGCAAGCCAAAGGCGACAATGAGAAGGAACCAAAACTCCATCGGTGACAGAAATAGTTTTTTTGCATTATGACTTTATTTCTTTGCCAATTTTTACATAATTTTTACATATGCACTACAGAAAAAATATGTATACGTTAGAAGTCCATTTCCGCCACAGAATAAAATAAATAAAAAAGGTAATTGCATCTTTTTATCTCACAATTTTTTCCTCGCAATTGAGTTTATATCTCAAAATTGTGACTGACTTTTTCAATTACGAGTTTATATCTTTCAATTCTGGCATTTTTGTTTCTGCCATGGAATAAAAAAAATAATTTTTAAATTGTGACTTTGCATCTTACAATTCAGGCTTTTTTTCCTCGCAGTTATTAGTTATTGGACTTTTTCAAGTTATAAACCATTTGCAATTCACAAGTTCATATTTCGCATTTTGGACGTTTTTCCTAAGAATTGAATAAGAGTTATAAATGTACATCTCACAATTCTGACTTTTTTCACAGAATAGCACATTTCTAACACAATTCTGCATTTAAATCTCACATTTCTGAGTTTACATCCAGTGTTAATTTAGTTGAAAAATAATTTTCGTCAACAACATTTTTTCACCGACGATAACTAAATAAAAACTAATTTTGAATGACGAAAACTATGACGAAAATCTACTGACATTTTCGTCAACAAATAAAATTGAGACAAAAATGTTAGGGAGCGACGATTTGGTAAGAGATCCAGTCAGAACTAACCTCCTGCGTGGTCCAGTTTTCAGAGTGCACACAACCGAATCACGCACACAGAAAAGCGCCTCTCAGACAGCGCACGAGTACTGAATTCAGTTCTCTTTTGCGTCTTATCACACACGAATGGAGAAATACTCACGAAATTGTCAGATTGTCTGTTTTGATGAGTATTCATGTAAACACACACATTATATTGAAAAGAAGACCATGTTCTTGTTTCTTTATTTAATCATAAGATAAAGACACGTTATGTGTCATAGCTGTTAAATCTGTGTCTATATTGCATGTTCAAACCTTAATATTATTCATATTAACAGGTAAATAGATGCTTTCTCCAGGAATATATAATGAGTTTGGAAATCTTAAGAGAAATGCTTAATAAATGCATTACACTGTAACTAAACCCATTAGATTCTACAGTAGATTTAGTCGACTATAATCTTATAATGTTTAGTCGAATAAATTTAATGCTTAATTTGTGGTTGATGAATCAGCCAAGTGTGGCCATGTTCCCAGGCCGATTCTGCTTGTGTTTTTGTGACAACAGCATATTGTTTGTCCTAATGACAAATATAGCATGAGGTTTTGACACCTTCTTCACCATATCTTCTCAGAAATACATGTTATAGTGTGTACAGAACTAGAAACACATGTTGAGAAACATGCCCTCACCTTATATGCAACATTAACAAAGTTATACAGACAGACTTGATGCAATCTTTTCAGGAAAAGAGTTTCAACACTGAACAGGGTACTTTTTGGAAATGTGCAAGTGATTCACAATGTGCTTTTGTTAATCAAAACAAATGTGTGACTGGGATCCAAAATGGATGGTTGTTTTTAAGTGTAATTGCAGCATAAATCAGATCAATGCAGGTTTCTGCAGGTCTTAAAAAGAAAGTTTTCATTTGCCCTTTTACAAATAAAGGCCTTAAAAGGTCTTAAAACATAGCATGAAGTCTTATGAAAGTGAAAAGTGACGTGACATGTGGCCAAGTATGGTGACCCATACTCGAAATTAGTGCTCTGCATTTATCCCATCCAAAGTGCACACACACACCGTGAACACACACCCGGAGCAGTGGGGCAACCTTTGTTTTGCTGCGGCGCCCGGGGAGCAGTTGGGGGTGCAGTGCCTTGCTCAAGGGCACCTCAGTCGTGGTATTGAAGGTGGGAGAGAGCGCTGTACATTCACTCCCCCCCACCTACAATCCCTGCCGGTACGAGACTCGAACCCGCAACCTTTGTGTTACGAGTCCGACTCTCTAACCATTAGGCCACGACTTCCCCGACTTATTCAAAATGACATTAAATGTTGGATGCACTGCAAAAAACAAATATCTTCCTCAGTATTTTTTTCTTGTTCTTCAATAAAAATATTTAAACATCCTTAAATCAAGAAGATATCTTTACTTGAAATGCAAAATGAAGAATTTGTATAAAATGAAGTGAGTTAAGAACTTGCTTAAGAACTTGAATGAAGATTATTCTTGTTTTAATCATAAACATTCTCAGAAAACAAGACTACTTATCTTCTCTCATTTTGCTTCTTAAGAATTAAGAATAAAGGTAATTGCATAATTAAGAATAAAGGTAATTTAAGAATCTTCAGACATTTGCACTGGAAAACAGAACTAAAATACTGATAAAGAACATCACTTTTTTGCAGTGTGATCAGAAGGTGCAGTAAAAGTTATTTCCATATTCTAGTATTTGGGAAGCCATTAATGAATTAAAAAGAATGGAGATCTGTTGGAAGTTGTATTTTCAAACTCTGAAGTGTTGCTAATACTTACTATGCACTCCCTAGACATTTACATTTAGAGGAAATACTGACATATTGCATTCCTTTCAATTTATTCCTTAAAATTTCTTTACTTCTTAAAAAGGTCTTAAAGTCTCAAATTTACCTTCATAAACCCTGAAGGTTACCTTGCTGACTCCTGTGTGATTGGTCCTTCAGGAGCACCTCATGAAGATCGTGCCCAATCCTCCAGCAGTGATCAAAGCACTTCAGATGGCTCCTGTCCTCGAGGATGTGAGGACCTTTCTGGAGCTTGCACATAAACAGGTGGATGCAGTGCAAGCTGCTCATAATGACTGCTCAGCCATGGACTGACTATCACAGGACGAGACCGTTTCTTAAACTTTACACACAAACGACAGCTGATAACCAAAGTAACTGCTTATTTATTTAATAATAACACGTTTGCATAGAGGACTAGGCACAGAAATTACATTTATTTTAAGCATTAATGCAGCAATATCAAGACAAGTACTGGAATTCAATTTTCACTTTAAGATTTATCATTAATGGGAACCTTTCTGCCATCTGTAAAGATTCTATATAATTGATCAACTTCTTCATCTTAATCTTTAAGATGAAGATATTTCATGTTTGGTTTCTTTCAACTGGGTAATGATCTGGGTGAAAAAATTTATGTAGGGCACATTTCTACTACATAAGATGTAAGAGAACAAACTTTATGCTTAATTTAAGCCTGTAATGACCAGCCTTTAGTCACAGGAAGGAAAGCCTTTCATTTGCTGTAAGGTTCCTAAAATGAAAGTGCTACATAACAATGCATCACAATTAAATCCAAGAATAAAACAATCATATCAATAATAGGATGGATCTTGGGGAATGTTTTTGTCTATCAAGTGAAGTCTCAGTCAATCTCTTGTGTAGAGATTTATACTGTATGTGTTTCCTGCTTTTAGTCAATGTTCATCATTTGTCTAACAAGCAGATCTGGAAACTAGATCTCAGATGTTGGTTTCAACCTTCTGCAGATCAGTATTTTACGCTCTTCAAGCTCCCCTAAAACTGAGAGTCTCTCCTTCGTAAGGACTTTCTTCGTAAAGACTCTGATAATTCCTCGTTGAAGACTCGCTCAATTGTTGAGAGAAGTGAGGCGCGAACCGTGTGGCCGAGTCCACGAGCTGCGAACACGTACAGGACTGGGTTGAGCGCACTTTTTATGTAAACCAGAAACAGCGCCACATATGCAGCTCCGATCGCTCCTTCTCTGAGCTTCTTCCAGTCTGGGCGATCGTGCGAGAGGGCCCTCAAAAAGCGGCAGGTGAAGTACGGCACCCAGCATGTGAGGAAGAGGAGCATGGTGAGGAAGAGTACGCGATAGAGACGGGTCAGACGCTGGGTTGTGTAACCCGGTCCAGATGATGAGGTAGGTGAAGACATTGTGCTGTCAGCCTTCTTTGCGCAAAAAATTACTGCGATATTGCACGACAAAAAGATCACTAGAGGCAGCAAGAATCCTGCCACAGTCTCCAACACATTTAAGGCTTGTCCTACTCCCAAATCACTTTCTATACAGGCGTCGCGACCCCCCCAGTAATCAACTTTGGCTGTGTTGATGTAGGGCGCAGCGAACACCGCCGCTAACACCCATATTGCGGTGCAGGCCAGAGGTACAGCCCAACGAGGGCGTTTCAATCGAGCCCAGACTGGTCTAAGGAGACACAAGCAGCGCTCCACTGCGACAGCACACAGCAAGAACGCACTCGCATACAATCCGAGGCATCGCAAATAAATCACCAGCTTGCACACAGGTACCCCCAATGTCCAATTGAAGTGGTTCACCAAGTAGGGCAGCATCAGTGGCGTACGTAACAACAGCACCAAGTCGGCAAATGCCAGGTTCACCACATAGATCCGGAAGCTGTCGGCACTCTGTGTCTCACTGGCAGCTCTTCTGTTGCGGCACCAAATGCGAACCCCCAATGCCCAGACCACCAGACCGTTTAGAGAAACACCCACAATGAAGATCATCACGGTCAGGATCATCTGCAGCACACGTATGCCCTCGCTGGGGTAGATGGAGGAATCGGTGTGGTTGGAGGTGACATTGATCGGATCTTTGGCAGACATTGATTCTCTGTGGAAATACAGGTGAGAAACGTTCATGTGCAAACTGTTCCAAAACACGGTTCATGATCATGGAAAGCATTTCATTAGCTTAAGAAACACATCTTTATGGTCACTGGTGATAAAATGGGGGAAGTTGAATGCAATTTCCTCTTTTCTTTTCAGAAGCATTTTGAAATGCTTTTTCAATGAAATTAAGTATGGCCATGTCACAATACTTTTTTTTTCTTCTTTTTTAAAATTATTTTATGTAGGTACTAGGTATATGTAGGTACTATTATATATATATAGGACATTCAAGATTGACTCATGCATTTCTGCTGAAAACCCAAGACCCCCCTTTCCATTAAACTTAATTTATTGGACTGTCCTGCTTTTAATACAAGTAGACAACATTTTTATTCAATAAGCTTACCTAAGTGCTTGTTTAATAAGATTTGACCAGAAAAGTTTTAGAATGATCATGTTAATGTAAAACATAATTTTTACTGTATTTGTTTTTATATGCAACACTTGCATATCTCATAACTCAATTCTTAATATGCAAGTAGCCTCAGTTGCTGACATGGCATGCATAACACTATGTTAAAGAGATAGTTCACCCAAGAATGAACATTTTGTCTTCATTTACTCACCCTCATGTCGTTCCAAACCTGTATGAATTTCTTTCTTCTGCTGAACACAAAAGAAGATATTTTAAAGAATGTAACCTAGCAGTTATTGGTTTTTCATGGTGTTTTTTTATTCTCCCAGTTTGATTACCCATATTCTTCAAAATAAATTTTCAACAGAAGAAAGAAACTCAGTAAATGATGACAGAATTTTCATTTTTGGGTAAACGTTCTCTTTAAGACTAAAGAACTTAAAGTTTGACTTTAGTTTGACCAAATAGCAGTTAACCAAGGGATAATCAGTCTGTCTTTTCAGATTCACATTAGACTAATCTACATTATGTAACTGGCTTAAAAAGTTATGACAAGTCTTAAAGAAAAACTTCTAAGACTAGTCTAAGCAGCCTATGCAACCACCCACAGATTAAAACGTAAAAATAATAAACATTTCAAGGAGCCTAGTTTGTCGTCAGTAGTGCTAGTGCTCAAACCTCTAAACAAAAGACAATATTCTGAAAAATGTTGGTAAACAAACAGTTGCTGGTAGCCACTGACTTCCATAATATGGGGAAAAAAATACTATGGAAGTCAAAGGCTACCATCAGCTGTTTGGTTCCCAACATTCTTCAAAATATTGGCTTTTGTGTTCAGTAGAAGAAAGTAAGTCATACAGGTTTGGAAAAACTTGAGGGTGAGAAAATAATGACAAAATGTAAAATTTTTTGGGTGAACTATTCCTTTAAATGTTAAAATTGATTGCGTAAATGCAGCATTTGAGCTCCAGACTTGAATTATTCCTCAAATCATGTGAGTGATCAAATGCACAATTTTTACCTGCTGGACTAGAAAATAGGTGAAAAAAGAAAATAGGTACAGACCCATATCTAGAGACCAGAAGATCACAGAGACCTGATAGTTGACTCTTTTGACAGTAAAACCCAGCGCTCTAGCAATCACTGAACACCTTTGCAGTGGACCAGCAAATACAGGTAAAATTGTGAGGCCATGTGGCGTGATGCTGTTGCAGGAATGTTAGCTTTATCACCTGAAGGCTTAGCATTATTTCACCCACAGCTGTCCTCCCATTCACAACCTGTTACCACACATCCATAATGCATTCCTGGCATGTGAACACACCTTCAGCGCTGCTCATCTAAAATATGTTTACTGCACGTGAGCCTTTTTGTAAACTTAAACTCTGATAAACATTTGATTTCGCATTTATTTATTTTTTGATGTTATTTTTTTTTAAGAGTAGATTTATTTGTTATAGTAGGAGTACGTCTTACCTTCTTATGAGGCTTTGGTCGACTTGTGTGCATTGACTCAGAGATCTGAGAGCTTTGGCATGGGTGGTTAACGCCGTTTGAGCTGATGGAGGATAAAAACTAAGAGGGAGTGTTTTCTATGCTTATCAGTGGGAGGATTTTGAGCTTGACACTCTTTCGTTTTGATTGCAACATTAATGGACAGCATGAAACGACCTAAATATAGTTTCTTAATAGTGGTTCATTCATGTGTTACACTGATTTACTGAATTTGTTTATTGCGTATGATAAGGGGCAGTTCAGCAAATGCTTAATAAGGTTTATGGCTTATTTGAGTGTGGAGGTAAATTCTATAAAAATAGAAAATGAGACTTTCTTTGGCAATTGTAAATATTAACTAGATTTAATAATAATAATAATACAATTCATTTTTTGAAAATGAGCAGCGTGTGCCCATGTAAAACCTTCTACTAAGATTTTATAGAGTTCTGTAATTCCTTCAGTGTTATTTTAGTATCATTGGGATACTATTAAAGTCTTTATAAATATTTTGAATTAGTTTTTATTTTCATTTATTTTATTTTTTAGTCATTGTTGCATTTTTGTTTTATTAGTTTTTTTAATGTTTTGTATAATTTTTATTTTAATTTTGGTTTTAGTTATATTAGCACATCAAGTGAAAATGAGAAATGTTGCATTAACAAATTAACTGAAAAGGTGTTTTACATTTTATTTCAATTAAAGTTGACTTTATTTCAAGAAATATAATTTTCTTTATGGTTTTAGTTACTATAATAACCCTTTATTCCACAAATTTCCTCAACAAGAGAATTGATTTGAGGAATCTTAAGAGAGCAAACGCTGTGGTACTAGACATTTAATACCTAAATTTGAACAAATCCGTAACCCTACACTGTTAAAAATGATCTCGCATTTTAGTTGTTTCCGAAAGTCTTCTCAGCGAGATCGACAGTGATGTGAGTATTTTAGTTTTGTGCTTGTTCAGATTAAAACATGCTTGTTATTGTTTTTTTTCTAAGTTGTTTGGGTTTGTAGAGTCACACATCACACAGGGCTCAACACACTGAACCCTGTTGATCCCTGTTTAACGGCATTATATGAAAAAAAAAAAAAACCTGGATTGTTTTCCTTAAAAAAAAAAAAAAATTCTTTTTCAACTGAAGAAAAACAGGCATTATATATCTTGGATGACGGTGGGTGGGCCTCAGGCCTCTGAAGGGATATTTTGTGCATTTTAAAGTTAAATACTTCAGTCTGGTACACTTGTGGTGCTTTTCCACTGCGTGGTACAGCTCGGCACGGCTCGGCTCGGTTTGCATTTCCACTGCAGTTTAGTATCGCTTTAGAGTGGGCGGGATTATTCACATGTCGTTA